GTAGTTTAGGAAGATACTAAAACTATTACTAGAACAATGAAACATACAAAGAGTCAGTTCATTCATGAGTCAATAATATACAGAGAACGAGATAACAAACAATACCATACAGAGAACGAGATAACAAACAATACCATACAGAGAACGAGATAACAAACAATACCATACAGAGAACGAGATAGCAAACAATACCATACAAAGAGAACATACATGCTAGATAGAAGGAGAACATACAATACAGCTAGCACATTCATTACATATACATTATTATATTTATGTGAGCCACTAAACAGGGCATGACACTACCTGCCATGACTGTTTTTTTTGTATCCAGAATCTCCTTAATTGGGGAGCGTATGAGTTTGTGTATAGATCTATACTTGATTGACTATCCTACACCTTGCTGCTAGCTACAGTGGGACTTGCAAGTCTACGGGTGTCAAACGTCATTTCTTACGACGTCTTACATCGTCGTTTTACTATAGAGTCGGTAGCAGGATACAGACCGATCACATGGTACTTTAAATAACAAATGGTTTAAAGTAGTTAGTACAATAGTAGTTCCTTAATAAAACACTACAGTACTAATTCATTTTCCCTTTACATTTACTTTGTGATTTCACACAATAAACAATAATGTAAAAACTATATTTTTGGTTAATGATAGTCAGAATTGGAAAAATACACACTCGTACAAGAGACACACACACAGACACTAGATGCCTTGGTAGAAGGCTACTGTTAGTAGAAAACATAGGGTTTTCTAGGAGAGTTCAAACAATTACAAACTTTTACAAAACGTATACATTACAAGACTTACAAATACTTTCATACAAATACAGACACTAATATACTTATGATCTCACTAGCTTTAAAGCTGATACTCGCTTTCAAAATAACTAGTATTCTCAGGTCGCCAGTAGACAGGTACCGGAGCCAGGTTTTTGAGAAGATGCAGCTTGTTCAAGACTCATCTTTCATTTTGATTTATATTTTTGGTGTCTATAAAACTTGACAGAACACACTTGTATGAAATTATATTATTAATGCAATGGATGATGTTGTTGCTTATTTACTACTTTGCATTGTTGTGATACTGTACATGACGTCCTCCACCCCCGAACGATTCGGCCGTTCCGGTTTTGGGGTGTGACAATTACCCCCTGGGCCCACAGTGTAAGTCTGGATTGCCTTCAAGGCCCACAGCTCGCATCTGGATTGCCACCGAGCCCACAGTATGAGTCTCCCTTAGCCCGAATCTGGAATGCTCCCGGGTTTGTTGGTTACCGCACAGAGCAGTATCACATCAACCCATCCCCCATAACATATCAACATATAACATAACTACTGAGCATGCAGATAATCATATAACAACACAGGTAGCCCTACAGATCTACCTAACTGGCATAACCACTAGCATGCAACACTAACTCATGCTTAACATCTAACACTGCTACGATACATATCCAATGGGCCGGCCTTGGTGCCTTAGACCCCTTTGTATAGTGAGGATAACTCACCTCGCAATCGTCGACTCGAAAGACAAGCTCAACCTCTCGGATCACCGACACGAACTCCACCACCTATAGTTATTTCAAACCATATTCATAAATCTCCAATTTCCCAAAATGCCCCCCAGAAGTCCACTGGTCAACCCTTGGTCAAAGTCAAAGTCAATGGTCAAGGTCAACAATCCATGTTGACCTCAAATCGTCGAGTACCCTTAGATACTCGTCGAGTTCCCAGCATAACTAGGCAACTCGCATAGGTATTATAGTGACTCGTCGAGTTCCTACGGTTTGCGGCCGTAACCTCTTTGGCCAGCTCGACGAGTTCCTCTTGCAACTCGCCAAGTCCATACGTGTCCAAAGGTTGTGAAACCCTAGCCGAATCGCCGAGTCACTCATCTGACTAGCCGAGCCCACAACAATCTTCATCGGACTCGCCGAGTCTTCCATGAGACTCGCCGAGTCTCTTCAGTCCTTTATCCATATAGAGTCTTTTTAAGCCATGCAAGGGCTCCAAATTGTAGATCCAGCTTCCCAAGGCATGTTTATCACGTAAAGTTGCAAACTTTACGTGCATGCAAAGCTCTAAAGCCTTAAAATGACAACACCAAGCTTGTAAAGAAGTCCTACACTTGAGAGAAGGCTCATACTTGTCAAAGTTGATAACTTTATGGATCTAGAGGCAAAAGAAAGTCCAGATCTGAAGTTACAACTTCAGATCTTGGCTTAAACACAAGAAACCTTTCCTAACACCCACCCCATAAAAGACTAAAGAAGAAATGAG